GTGTGTGTGTGTGTGTGTGTGTGTGTGTGTGTGTTTCAGGAGAGCACAGAGGACTGGGTCCTAGCATCTCAAAAGTAAGGAGTCTGAAGATGGACAAGAAGGTGTGGACAGAGGAGCTCATTCAGGTGAACAGAAAATGTAGTGACATGTTCTTTAGAAGATTTGATGAAGCAAAAATCTAAATATCAGAGCATGTGTTATCTAGATATTTTGTGTGTAACAAACTCATTTAGACTCCAGTTATTTATTTATATCTTAAAGGTAATCTTTGTTAAGCTTAAATGACATTTTCTGAAGCAGCCTTTCAGCTTGCTTGGGTTCAAAATGAATATTCCATCTTGCTTCCCAAGAATAGTTAAAGAAAATTTATTAGCCAAATGTCTGTTGTGTTCAAAAACTATAGCATGTTTTTGGCTTAGTAAATGACTCACAGTTCAAACAGGTAACATCAACAATGAGTTCTACAATTGACAATAAATATGTTGATTAAATATTATTCTGGTTTTGATCTTGCCGCAGGTGTTCCTGCAGCTCGGGAACGACCGTGTGAACAGTTTCTGGGCAGCAAACGTCCCGCCAAGTGAAGCTTTATCGCCCTCCAGCAGTAGCGAGAACAGGCGGTGCTTCATCTCCAACAAATATCGCCAGGGCAAATACAGGAAGTACCACCCGCTGTACGGTAACCAGAGGGAGCTCAACAACGTGAGTTCACTCACGCAGTTGGAATGTTTGCTGTTGTATTTTTTTTCTTCCCATATTTCATCACACATTTATTATGTAAGAATATGTTGAAAGTTTTTTTTTTTTTTTTTTGATAGCTGAAATATTGGAATCCAGTTTGGTCAAATGTCAGTGCTGGCTGAATTGTCACATCATGATATATTAGCTTGCAAAGGATTTATTTGTTTCCTACTTTACGTTTTACACATTTTTATGCTTTTAATAAAATATCCATAGTAGACTTTTGGTCAAAATACAACCTTATTAACAAAGCATTTATAAATGAGTTTCTTTTGTAGCTGAGTTTAAAGTGAGATTTGACTGAACTCGTCTGGTTTTTTTTCTTGTAGAATTTGTTTTTGTAAATCTTTTTTCTACGCACGTAACCTCTCAATAGAGCCGTTAATTTTTATCTTCATTCAGAATTGCACTCGCAGAAACCCACGCCCACACTCAGCAAACTAACTGTTTTATTGTCAGCAGTTTAGCCTGGGTTGTGTTGTCTTGTCGTGTTCAACTGGTCCATAAAACACTGCAGCATAGGTACAAGTGCTGAGTAACGTAACGTTCAGCTGGACAGGTGTCATAATTTCTCCTTCACATAATCTCTTTATAAACTCCGGATTAAAATATTGTTTTATTCAAGTTTTTAGATAATTACATTTAGAAATATTGCTCAGAGAAATGAGTAAAAATGGCATTTTGAGCCCATTTTTTTGGAGTTAGGTGATATATAAGTGATAGACAGCTTTAAACATTCTTAATCTGAGATCATAAAAAGTACAGCAGGATTTAAATGTAAAGTAGATAATGAGGAGAAGAGATTTTTTTGTTACTTTGAACTTCTGATTTAATGAGATAATTTCACACCAAATAGCTCAAACAAAGTGGCAGCCTCGTGTATTATAAGGGATTCTGCTGTAACTCAGAAAAATGCTATTTCTCACAAAAGATACTTTTTAAACTAAACTAGATAGGTAAATAGGTGAAGTGACGTTTTTTTGTTACTGTATCTGTCTGACCTGGGTAGTTTTTGAGAAACTCTGACTTGGCTATTTTTTGTCACGGTCACATGTTTTCCAGTAACTCATTCAGGTGTACAGACAGCACACCTGCACATTCACTTCCTCATTCAGGACATGACTAGAATTCCTTCGTGTTGTTCATGAACCTGAGGCAGGGAGTAAAACAACTTGAAGGTCAAGCAAACTTAGTGCCTGTCATGTCAGAGTTTTAATCTAGAAATTGTGTATCCATTTTAGTCAAACTATAAATAACTTTATGCCCAATCTTATGTGACGTTGTAAGTAAGTACTTACTTACGTTGTGAGATCTCGAAATTATGATAAATGGCCTGAACCTATAAAGAGCTTTATCAAGTCCCTACGGACTCCAGATCACTTCACACTTCAATCATTCACCCATTCATACACATTCAATGACTGAGACGGACAGAACAGGGAATCAAACCGGCAACCTACCAGTTACAGGACGACTCCCCTAACCACTCAGCCTGTCAGAACTGTTGACATTCTTTGTGTTGTTTAATTTATCCAGTGGTTCATGAGATATTTTATTAACAAACCAATGAACAGACTCATGCAAGTCCATTGAACCAACATCCATAGTCGGTGTGATATTGTTGTGTGTTATAAACTCACTCATACATTTTGCACTGTTTTGGTTTTTAGCTCAAGTGTTCTCAAAGTAAAAACATTATTTGTGAGTCCTTATCAGTTTGAGAAATAATTCCCTTTAATTCTGCCATTTTGATTCAGTATGAGAATGTTTCATTTAATTATTTTGCTGTGCTGCATGTTAATGTGGATTTTTTTTTAGTCTTTGTGTTTCTTTCTCTGCTTGGTCACTTAATAGCCTCTTAACCCACTTCCAGCCACAATGTGCACAGCTTCTCTGAGTGTGTTGGTGAGTCACAGTTAACACCAGACTGTGAGTTGCTGTCTCTCTCTCTCTCTCTCTCTCTCTCTCTCTCTCTCTCTCTCTCTCTTTTTTTTTTCATGTGTGTGTGCACCTGGGTTTGTTACCTTTTTAGGACCGTTTCTGGTATAAACACCTACTTTGTCAGGACCAGTAGTCATTTTGGGGACTAAAGACTACAGTGGAACACCACTGGTGGGTTAAGGTTAGGGTTAAGGTTAGGTTACAGTAATGAATACACGGTCCTAAAAAGGATAGAGATACAAACGTGTGTGTGTGTGTCACTGTTTGGAATGTTCAAAGGGAGGTTTAGGAAAGTTTAAGTGTGTTTTTTTTTTTACAGCTGCTGGTGCTGCTCCTTTTTTTTCTGCCTCTTCCAGTGGTTTTTCTCCTCATGTCACAGAACTCTTTCTGTTTTATAGGTAGTGTCTATAGGTGTTTCTACCTGTTCTGTTTGTAGCCCTTATTAAAATGTTTGCAATTCTCCAGCTGAGCTTGTTGCATTTCTTCTTGGGTGTGTCCAAAGAAATTTTAGGCAGCTAATTTATTTGTGGCAACTTTGCTCTTACGACAGAAGACGCCGACAAAAAAGGCAGCGCTTAAGGAATAAGATTGTGTCCTGAGTTTTTAAAAAAAGCGTTTAAGGTTTGTTGTTCTATTCTCAGCTTTTAAATCCTCTCCACGGCTTCCTCTTCTGTTTATTTTTCCCCGTTTTCCCGAGTGTGACATCATTACTCGCTGATTTATCTGGAATGTGTGGTAACTCCGCCTCTCCACCACCTCCTCCCCATCTACTCCTCCTCCTCCTGTCCTCATTGTTTGGCTGTGAGTGCTACAGAAAGCTGATCTCTTCACTCTTGGCTTTTGTTTTTCATCTGTAAGTCTCTCTTATAAACTTTGTCTGTGTCAAGTCTTCATAAAGTAGCTGTTTCCTTTACATTTTGAACTTTAGGGGGTTGTGTGTTGACAGTGATACTGGGTTGAGTTTGACAGGAACTGAAAACTTGAAGCTGTGTGTATCTGTGGGACAGGGTAGTGAAAATCTCTCTGTGCAGCTACATCTCTTGTTTTGTTGAAGTTGAACTTAGTGAAAGAGTGTGTTTGTTTTATTGAGGGTAGATTTGAGCTTGCATGACGGCGTGTTTGTGGACTTTGGATGCCAGATAGTCATCTCAGCAAAACTGCTCAAACTGTTGTGTTGCATAGTTTTGCATTAGCGTTGCTGTCATGTAATCTGTTTGAAATGATTCTTTGTGTGTGTGTGTGTTTCGTACTGGAGTGGGTATGTTAAGATGCATATTATCATGCATGTGTGGACATGCACATTAATAGTCCTTATTTGTGTTTTTTTTTCTCCCATGTGTTAATGATGCACTTCTAAGCTGAAATCTGTCATCGTCTCTAAAGTCTTTTTGTCACTCTGTCTTTGTTCAGTGGCACCTATTGATTTTCAGTTCAATAAAGTACTTTTTCCCCCTACAGCAATTCAGTGATAAAGTTATCTCACGGAAAAATGATAAAAGAAAAGCCTTGCGATCTTTGATCAAGGAAGGAGCGAGCTATTTTAGGCTAGAAGAGAGCTCTAGCAAAACTAAACTCTGCAAAGAAGATTATCTGCCTGGACCGGTTCATGACATTAAGACAAAAAAAAAAAAGAGCAGAAATGTTGGAAAGATAAATGCTGGACAGGTTGGTCGAGTCAATTATATCAGATCAGAGCAAGTGGAAGCTGCAAATAGCTTCGGAATGATTCATGGAGTGGAAAAACCTCTGGCTATGGAATTAATACAAATAAATTATTTAAAAAAATGCATTGAGAGTTTTATGTGTGTTTGCACACACGAACACAGGATGTTCTGGGATTTCTCCTGCAGTTTCTGGTCACTCATGTAATCCACAGCTGCAGATTTATTTTCCGTTTGAGATGGGCCCTCAAAGCTGGGAATATGAAGGAGGGTCTGTGGGGGAGGCAGGACATGATGCACAAAGTTAGATGAGGAGATCTTAGCAAACGAGGCTTCTTGTGCTGACTTAGGGCTGATTGGACAATTTCCTTGTTGTTTTCATTTGTATAATTTCACTGAAACTTCTCCAGAACACTTATCGACAGCAGTGCACATCTGTATGGATTATTAACACTTCAACCAGCATGATATATGCTGTTTGGCAAATGAGGCTGGGATAGATAGAATGCTTTGTTAGGAGAATATTGTATATATTAATATATGTAGTCATTTTGGGGACTAAAGACTGGTCTCTATATGGTGGGTTAGGTTAGGTTACTCATAATGTTTATGTTTCTTTAAAAAATAACAAAGCGTATTTTTCATTCAGGATGAACAAAGTCCCACATGCTGCATTTTGTTTTCAGGCTTGACTTGGTTTTGTTTTCCTAGAGGACACACGCTGGTTTGTCACCAGTGTGTCGACTCGAGTCAAATGACAGCCATTCATGAGTCTGGCTCCCTCTGTGATGAGCTATTATCTTATGCTTTCCAAAACCATGCTGAAATGTCAGCATGCCTTGTTGTCCATCAACAAGTTTGTGGGAGGGTGAAGATACCAGTAAGCAGAAAAATATGATGTTGGTGAAATGTACAGAGAATGTGTTGTTTAATACTGTAGGTTAACGGTTCATGTCAGTCTATAATGATGTTGGTATTTTTTTTGGCAAGCCAACAGAAGAGGTTTTAAAAGGTTTTTATGGGTTTCTTTTGTTTTTGGACTTTTAGTTCAAAGAAAAACTTCTTTTGTATAACTTTGCATTTCTTGCTTCCTCCATCTTAGCCCCCTCATTTCCTCATTCACACTGTGGGACTTGAGACAGTAAATTCTTTCTGTATTCACATCAGCTTGAGATGCTGTCTGCCTTCTTGTTCATTTCCCAGCATTAACCCATTCTGCTTTGTGTTTCCAGTTCCACTTGCTCATTTTCCCCCTCTGCTTTTATTCTCTTTGGGGGTTTCTCCTCCCTCTCTCCGTAAAATCCCTTCCTGGTGATGTAATGATGAAACATGTGTATTTCTGCTCTTTCTCATCTGGATTTAATATATGAACATGTACATGTGAGAGTCTGGGTGGAGTTTTGGCAGAACGTGCACTAAAACATCTACAAAGCGTAGACTTTGTGTCTGTGTTTCTATAGGTTGAGTTTCCAGCCAAGTCTAATCAGGCTCTGATGAACATGTCCGACTGAAACGCTTTCATCTTGTTTTCACAATATTTTCTTTTCTTCCGTTTCCTCCACCCCCCCCCCCCCCCCTCAACTTTAGTCCATGTTACTGTGAAGGGCAGATGGAGGGCTGTGATTTTTAGACACACCCAGATAAAATCTCCCTCCGTCTCTGTGTCTCTCTCTGGGGAACTTGTCTAAGATTCTTGTATTCCCCTCTCATCTCTTCTCTCCATGTTATTCCATGGCTCTCTTTTCATAGGCAGCAGATGTTGATGGGTGAGGCCTTGAAGCTCTCAAACAACTCATTTCCTCATTGCACTTTGTTCTGATTGGTCCAGGTCACTCGGTCAGAGGGAACAAGCTTGCTTGTCTTTTTTAGTGAAGCACACTGACCTAGAGTGCTTTCACAGGTCGGATGGTTTGTTTAGCTGGCGTGTAAATTTACCATAAAATAACAGTACATTGCATTGATCTGTATGTGATGTAAAATAGAATGTGTGAATAGAATAAATGTGTGAAATAGAATGGTCTTATGGCTAAAAAATAAAGCGGCTAGGTCTGTAGTAGAATGCACGATAGCCTATGGAAATAAATTAGAGAGACTGGTGTTTATGGACCATAATACATTCATTCAGTACTGCTTTTTAGATTAGAGGGTCAAAGTGGAAAATCATGGAAGTTACCAAAAGAAGCATCTTTATTTTCTCACGTGGAAACGGCTAAATTTATCAGGGATTACCCTGTGGCGTTCTTTTGAAAACACCTCATTTTCTGAATGCTCCTGAGGCTTCCTGCATTTTTCATATTTCCTTTATCGTCTCAAGAGTGAAGTAAATCTTACATGGAGGTTTCTGTGTTTGTGTTAGTAGTAACTGTGGTTTTAGTTCAGATTTAATGGAAGTTTTCTCAAATTAGGGACTTTATCAGCTCTGTCGTTGTATCCAAAACTAATATGTGATTTGTATGACAGCTTGGACTTTATAGTTTAGGAAGGCAACTTTTGATTTGAAGTGACTTAAACAAAAAATGGAGAGATTTTATGAAAGAGGAGGGGAAACAAAGCAAGTCATTGTCGATGCCAGCCGCTCCATTGATCTGTGCTTCAGATTCTTTTTGAATCAGCTTGTTATTCAACCAGAAGATGTGTAACCACACTGGGTTTGTGATTTGCTCCACGTATAAATAAAAACAAAGCTTCTGCTGATTAAAGATGGACTAACCACTGTAAGATTCATAAGGTTCTATAAAGTGAAGTGATTCGCAGATCTGCTGTGATTTACAGTACAGGAATGTTCAAGTGGACAGACCACAGCTTTTTGTTTAGAGCTGTGAGAAACAAAGGAAAGCCGTTTGTCTCAATGACTTCTGTGTGTGTTGTGGGGGTTTCTTGCGCAATTTTAATCTTTGTTAATTGGTTTGTTTGTTTGGATGTGTGTGTCGGGGCTCAGTTGAGCTTAAATTGAGGAGTGGTGCAGTTTGTGTGTGACGGAGTGTTGTGGAATTTCTCGGTCGGACCAAAAAAGAGCTTATTGGTTTTAACACAAGACAGACCTGTGTGTTTGTGTGTGTTTGTATGAATCAGAATGAAGTTCCCCTCTTTAAAAAAGGCACGTCTTTTCCACAGTTTTAACTTTATTCTGATTCGGCATTTCCTCCTTCTCCTTTCTTTATTTTAGGGTTTACGGTCTTTTCAGTGCAGCTGTAATCACAAAGCCTTACTGCTGGTAGTGTTATTTTATCACACACAGAAATCTGTTTGTATTCATCATTATATTATATAAAACCAATTCTCCAGTTTCGCTATTAAAATGGTTTGGTGCTTGAAAACCTTAGTCAGTTTTTTTTTAATTTTCTTTTTAATTTATTTTTCTTACAAATTGTAGCTTTCTTTAGTTCCAAACAAAGAGCGTCTAGTATTTGCTTATGTATACGTTTTTAAGTTTTGTTTTTAAAATGAATAATTACTAAAGGTCCTCGTAGATTCGTGTTATATGACCATCCAGTATATTTTGAAAGACTTCACAAGCTCATACAAGTCTTACAGCACATTTCAGCTCTTTAATGGTTGATGTCAGAGTTTAACATAATTGAACTCCACAAGTATTAGTTGCAATTATTTCCATTTTAACCACCCAGTTATTTTGGTTGTAATAGTACGGTACACATTGTTGTCATTAGATAAGAGGTGCCAAGTGTAAAATGAATATTTTCATTTTTTAGCTCCCTTTTTAGTGTTAAAAATTTTCCACTAGCATTTTATTATTTAGCTCACTGTTCTTACATTTAGATAATTTTTACTAAATGTTAAATTTAAATGTTATTTAAATATTAAATCCTAAATCTAAAGGTAAAAGTTAAACATTAAATGTTGAAGTTCACATTTAGGTGTTTTAGAATGCAGCCTTTGCTCTTGGTGCTCGACTCGTTATGATGTCATCATCCTGAGACAGTGTCAACTGCTAGCACCAATGCACCTAAAGCTTCCCTATAAGACATGGCATTTTTTAACATTTTATTTTACACTTGTTGCTTCATAATTAGAAGACAAATATTAATTTGTACTTCAAAACTGCAAAAATCAGTATTAGCAGGTACAATAGAAGGCGTAAAGTTGTCTACTTGTATGATGTTAGTTTAGTGTCTTAGTCATTTAGGTCAGTGGGGGGTGCTAGGGGTCCCCAGAAAGCAAAAATAAATAATTTTCATAAAATCAAATTTTCTCCCCGAGCTACATAGCAAGCCCATTATTGATTTATTGATTAGTGAATAAAAGTGAGAAAAGACATTCTAAAAGTTAATGTTTCTTTACATATTTTATAGAATTGTTTGTGGTTTTGCAAAGGGGGGACCCCAGCTAGAAGCTAATGCTGTTTTGGGGGCCATGGCATGGAAAAGTTTTTGAACACTTAGTTCAGGTCAGGGTAATCCCTGCATGCTTAAACAGGAAACAGAACAGAAACATGTTTCTTCATTTTTATCCAAGAAAAGAAGTCCATTTTTTACATGACCTGACTGTTCATGCAGGTCCGCTATAGAAATGCTTGGATTTGCTGTGACGTTAAACACTGGCAGGTGTTGTTGTTGCAGTTTTTTTCCCCCTAAAGTAATTAGTTTTTTCACTGTGTCTTCTCCTCTTCAGGCTCTTTGCATAAATGTGCAGAGCAGTGATTTGTTGGAGACGTTGAGCCTGATTTTCTGCGGTGCAGAGGTGAATTGTTCGACTGGAATGGAAAGTGGTTCTACCCCTGAATACATCGCCAGTGCACATTCACAACCCCTGCAGGCTGAAATAATCAGACATAACCTCAACACAGGTATGACGTTTGTGCACTCAAGGTCAAAAGAATCACTTATGGTTTTGTTTTTGTTGTTCAAATTACCTTCTGCATTGTGCGGTTCCTATAAAAGATTTGCCCCTTCTGGGATTGTTTTCTGCTTTTATTGCTGTCATAAATTAGTCATGGTCAAGATAAACTGGTCTTATTTATACTCTATTACAGTAGGCCTATATGTTTCTATTGTAGGTTTAAGGTGAACATATATTTTGTTAATCTTGTAGTTTCTATTTAACCTGATCTTGTGTAACAAATTTGGTACACTGAATTGCTAAAGTTGTTAGTTGTTTTTTTCTTCTGTAGAGCTGCCTCAGTTACAAGTAGACAGTGCTATGGATCTGGAACCTTACCAGCCGTTACCTTGTGTGTCTTACAATGGTTTCCTGTCTAAAACTGCATCAATGACTCGAGCTGTCACGGAACGCAAGTCCAAAGAGGGTACGTGTAAGAATCGTGTAACACTAAAACTTACCTGTTCTGAAGGAAAACAATCTTCAAAGTTGTATTAGACCACAACAAACACTGAGGTCTGTTAATGTGACGCATAGTTAACGTCACGATTAACATGACCGCCGCTCTTGATGTGAGGTAGAATAAACACCCGTTTGTCCATCTGTTCAGAGTTCAGTCGTCGTTGGTGCATGTTAAATGACGGAAACTTCAGCTACTATGAAAGTGACAAGAACGCCAACCCTAACGGGACAATAAAGGCATCAGAGATGGTCTGTTTGGCAGTCGACACACCTGAGAAACATGGGTATGCACACCTATACATAAGTCTTTTTTCACACTGATTTTCTGTTAAGGAGTTATCAGTTGTTAGTACAATAACCTGCTATTGAGAACTGTTTCACAGAACTTCACTTAAAATGACCAGAATGTCCCTTTACTTGTTTTGGTTTATTTTACAATGTTCATATCGTACACTTGAAAATGTTACTTTTCTTTTCCAGGTTTGAATATACCTTTGAACTATACTCTGAAAATGAGCGTCTTTATCTGTTTGGTACTGATGATGCAGACAGCCACAGGGAGTGGGTCAAGTGCCTTGCCAAGGTAACACCATTCTCTCCATCCTCAGGCTAGCAAATCATTATATACTTTTTTAGAGAAATTGGAGAGCTCATTAAGTACTGTTTTCACAAAATTACATTATTAATTACTACATTATTTATTTATTTTTCACAGAGCTTTATCCCAGCCTCTGCAGAGCCTTTGCTGCGATTGAGTTTTGATCGTATTGGACGGCTGAAGTGTAAAGATGGCTTGAACCTACAAAAGTCCAAAGTAGGGTGGTTTGCTCTTGCAGGCTCTACGCTTCACTTCTATCTGGAGGGCAATAAGGGAGAGGAGATCCACCTCCGCAGAGTGAACGAACTCTGTGAGTGAGATGTTTGAAGAAAATCATTTGCTTTGTGCATTCATGCAAATAATAATAATTATTATATATATATATTTTTTTAAGCTATCCAACAAGACAGTGAAGTGTTGGTTCTTGTGGAGAGGGGAAGGTGAGATGAATGAATCAATTATTTGACACCATACCTGCATATTTGAGCAATTTTATATTAAATAAATTCACTTTTCAGTGATTCTCACCTGCTTTCTGTTCTAATTGTTTTTATATTGTCCTACTTGTTTGTATTTATAACTACTCAGAACTCTGTACATCGAGGGGGAAAGGAAGTTGGACTTTACAGGCTGGTGTGGGGCCATCCAGGCAGCAGGAAAGAGCGGAGGAGACAGTCTGAGCCAGCAGCAGCTCACAGAGACAGACGTTCCCGTCATCGTACAAATCTGCATCGACTACATCACACAGTGCGGTAAGAGAGAGACCCTTAAAGACTCAACATTTTGTGGAAATCTTGATGGATTGGAGTGGCCTCTGAATGTCTGTGTACTCATGTGACTGTAACAGGAGGAGCTCTGGCTGTGGGAGAGCTCAACAGGCTGCAGGACAACAAAGCAGCTCTGTTCCACCTCCATTTCAATCTTTACCCCTTCTCTTATTTTATTTCCCTCTATTTTGTCTTTTAAATGGTATTCCTCATTTATTATTCCTCTTCTCAGCCACCATCAGGGGCAAAACAAGTCCATGTCCAGCATTTATCTACACGCTACGACTAATGTAATCAGCCTTTACCGTGTGATCAAGGACTGCATGTTTATTTATGATTCTCCACACTTTTTGTGCCCCTAGTCACCGCGAACAAAATGCAATTACTTCCACTGCATGTCATTAGGGAAATTTGTTTTCTTGTCAAACAATGCAACACATTTGATAAAACAGATAAGTGAATCTGTTGAGATGTCTTCTGGGATAAACCATAAAGATTTAAAAAACAGTTTAATTTAGTTTTCGCTCCTGTTTTAATTTCCATGCTTTCCTGCAGCCCCACCACACAGCTTTCTGAATGCTCACACCTCAGTTTAGGGTATTATCTCATCAGTGTAAGGCAGATATGCTACATGTTGCTTTTAGCAGTTAGCTTCTGAAATAAAAATATCTAATTTTCACTTCAGTGACTTATTATCACTGAAAATCCAAACTAAGATTTTTTTAATGTTGTTCAGTATCATTAGATGATGATATGCATTCACAATAGTTAGTACTGAATTAATTATTTATTATGGTCCTTTTTAATGATTGTACTCTATTTGAAATTGTGGTAAATGATCAATAATGTGATACTTTTTTATGCTACGTCATCTTATTTAATTTTAACCTGAGTTAGATTAAACAGTATGAAATATTATTTATAATGCAGTACTTTGAAATCATTGGCTACTTTTTTTTAGGTATGCTGGATTATACTTCCTGTGTGTGTGAAAGAAGGGAAAAGAGTTTGAAGATGCTTTTTTAGTACCTTTCAGCTGTTAAAAACACTGGCATTAAAGGCAGTGGGTGATAAGCATTCTTTCAATAAATGCTTGGTCATTAATTGTTATTGTTGTTTTTTTTAAAGGTTTGATGTCCGAAGGAATTTATCGCAAGAATGGTGTGAATTCCCGTGTGGCAGCTTTGTGCGACCGATTCCGCCAGGATGCTCGCAGTCTGCGTCTGAAGGAAGGCGAGCATCAGGTGGACGATGTGTCCAGCGCGCTCAAACGCTTCTTTAGGGAGTTAGAAGAGGGACTGTTTACGTCGAAGGACGCCAAGACGTGGCTCAGTGTCACTGGTAAGAAGCTCTAGCCTGTTTACATTGTGTTTGTGGAGTCTGTGATGAAATTGTTCTAAGAATGTAAAATTGCTTTGAAGTATTCTACTAAATAAGGGAATATTTTTATTATTCTTAAAGTGCCTGTGACATCCAGTTTTGTTAATCAATACGAAAGCATTTCTGGAAAGATAACATTGAGAACATATTGCAAAAAGAAATTCACGTTGCTGAGCTGAACAGTTGTTGAGATATTCGCATGTGAAGTAACAGGAAGTGATGTCAAAGGGTAATGTCTGCATGTGAACAGAGTGTTGTTACAATAAGAACACAGACTGTAGAGAAGAATCTGATCTTTCTTTAGATTATTTTGAGTCCCTATCAGAGATGAAGAAAAGTCAAAATTCAAATAATATTGTTTCAATAAACAAAGACCAGAGAGTTCCCCTTTGATGTCACTTCCTGTTTCACTTTAGCTGAGCCGAATTCAAAAGAAAATGTGCCAATCATGTGACAAAGTGGGTAAAAACGTGTATAATATGCCACGTTCAGAAAGAAACGTTTGTTTTAACCAGCTGCAGTGAGAAGTGGGCAATATGCAATGTCCTGTGAGTGTGTGTATGTGTTAGCAAAAAAATCTCTTGAACCACTAGGTTGATTTTAATGAAAGTCTCAGAAAATAATTCTTTTGTACTCCAGGCGTTCAGGATGAAAGTGAAAAGCTCACACAGTACAAGTTCCTGCTGGACAGGCTTCCTCACGTCAACAAGGCTACACTACAAGCTCTTATCAACCACCTGTACTGGTGAGAAAATGATGCACAGTGACTGAAACACTCACTGTCTATCTGTGTGTACACAGACTTATTTCTTACTGTGCATGCTTTAGTGTGCAGCGTTATTCTGAGCTAAATCAGATGAACCTCCACAACCTGGCCATAGTGTTCGGTCCCACTCTGTTCCAAACTGATGGGAAGGATTACACGGTCGGCCTCGCCATTGAGGACCTCATACAGCACTACACACTCATCTTTGAGGTCAGTCTGTCAAACAGGAGGCAAAGCATGGCAGTTATGTAGCCACTAACAAAATGTACGTCTCAGGATAGACAAACTCCAAACGGATTAGGTTCTGATCAGGATGAATAATTTGAAAGTTGATTTATTCAATGTTTATTTGAGTGTGAATGAATGTGTCTGTTCTGGTTTGTAGGTGGATGAACAGCAGTTAAACAAGCAGATAGAGGAGATCAAAGCCATCATTGACCTGCGAAACATACACACCACGAAATTTCCTGTGAGCCACACACATAAAAATAACACATTATAATCCTGTTTATTTTTTAAACATCGAATGCTTCAAAGACTTTATCAGCTTTCATCTGGATCGTTTGCATCACAACCAATTGTTTTTATTGTTAGGAACTACAATTTCTTTTTGCACTGTAGCCGTTCTCTTTTACAAGTCTTTGGTCTAATTGTGTATTAGTCTGCAGACTATTCCAAGGATTTTATTTTATAATTCTTCATGAGAATCAATATGTTGTTCAAAGAGCTGTCTTTGTGAGAAAGTAACTGAAGTTAACACTGTAATATGCAAGAGACTCAATTACTGTACGTCTGAGCCTGCTGTAGTCAATGGGCTCCGTGTAATGACTGTAATTCCTAAACAATTAATGCGTCTTGTTTTATGAAGCTGCTGAACTGAAGCTTTTTAATCACATGTAGATTGTTTCAAATGCATCAAACGCATGCAGCCTTTGGTTTTCTGTGTAGGTTTTTGTTCATCGTGCTGATGCCGTTACTGGCTGTTGTACTGTGTCTGATATGTGTACTCAATGTGTGCATTCCAGCCGGTTCAGAAAAAAGAAGGGGACGGCCACTTCATCTGTACGGTGTACTTGCAAGAAATAGAGCCAGAAGAGCAACTTGTCAAAGTAAATTGGATTTGAGCTCATTCTGTTTTACTGTTTCAGTGTTCAGTTTGTTTTTGTATGCAGCTCTTCAGTGTCACAGAACCTAAACACATGGTGTACTCTGATAAACTCTGGTTCCTGTTTTGCTTTTCCTCTCAGGTCCCCGGTTCCATGACTGCAGCAGAGCTGACCTGTGAGGTTTTGGACCGACGTAATATTCTAGTTAAAGAAAAAGATTACTGGAGCTGCTGGGAGGTCTGTGACAAAGAGGAAATGGGTGAGACTCATGGAAAAAAAATTAAAAATGGGGTTGGAAGTTGCTTGTAATATCTGCCATCATTACTTGTTCAGTTGCAATGTGACGATCCTCAAGGATCGGTCCTCGGTCCTCTTCAATTTCCTGCCATTTTTTTTTGTTTTTGGTACCTAAACAAGTAATTTCACTCTGGTTTCTAGAAACCTTGGATTTCTATTTTATTCTAACTTTTATTCTGACTTTAATTTATTAATAATACATGAATACTCAAAATAAGTTATCCACTCAGCTTTTAGATACCGTCTGAAATCTCAGACCGTGTGATTTTTCCATGTGAGTTTATGGAAGTTCAACTGATGAAAGCAAACAAGGAAATAGACAAAACCTGTGAGGTGATTCATGTTCAACTTGACATGACAAATCACCATGCTCTTGTGACAGCTCTCACTCAGCAGGTTTATTGTGGCTTTTAGTTTGTGAGTATGGTATGGGTGTCACCCTTTTATTTAATACCAGGAAACCTTATTTGATGCCAGTAAAGCGCATTGGATTTGTCAGATTTCTCGTTACTTGTCAGAATACCGGTTTTCACACCTTATTCTTCTTTTGCCCATGCTGCTGTTTTCATAATGCTCAAGTTATTTTTCATCAGGAGCAGTTTGAGTTTGCATTTAGTTACATCATCCTTTTTGTGTCATTGTGTGTTCCTCAGAACGTCCTTTGCATTACCAGGAGAGAGTCTTACCCATCCTTCACTCCATTGGAGCTGATTCCCGTCTACTAATCAAGAAACATCCTGATATAGAGGCCATGAAGGTCTTTCTGGGTAAAACTCGTAAAACAAAATCTAGCTCGCTAAATCATCACGCTGCCCTTCACGTTTCACTTCACTTCTCGATGTTTTGTTCTGTCTCCCAGCCAATAAAGTGGATGTATCCAAACACGGGATAATGAAGTTCAGAGAAGAACGGAGCATCTTGGGGTTAGGTCTACCGTCTGGAAATTTCCACGAACGATACTTCATTCTCAACGTCACCTCGCTCAGAATGTACAGGGATGTCAGAGTAAGAGTTGTACACTCAGGGAAAGTCTGTATTGTTTTCACTCGTCACTTTATTTCATAATTTTATGAATGTATGTATGTATGTATGTATGTATGTATGTATGTATGTATGTATGTATTTATTTATTTATTTATTTATTTATTTATTTATTTATTTTGTCAGAGTAATCGTCCAGAACGAGACTGGCCTGTGAAAAATTTGAAGATTTACTTGGGAATTAGGAAGAAACTCCGACCTCCCACACCGTAAGGAAACACGTATTGAATAAACAGTAAATAAAGACAAAGCCTTTCTAAAGAAGCCTTAGAATTAATTTAGTTTTTTTTTTCAGTTTCAGTCTTTTTCTCATGCAAATGAGAGATTCTTGTTGTACTTTTCAGTGTCACAGATACGCTATAAGTTATTTATTAGCTATTATATAGTATATATGTTTAATTGTTATGTTTAAACTGTATGATTTCACTTTTTAGCCCAAGTCTAAAATATTACCTGGGTCTTGTAAGCATTTTCACTGACCACTAGAGGACAGACTAAGACCAAGAATCTTAATGACTAATCGTAGAAAGAATCATTTTCTTTGTTGTTCATTGTTTTGTTTTTAGTTGGGGTCTGACAGTCGTGTACGAGGGCAAGAAACCAGAGAGACAGCAGTGGTGAGTAACTCATATTACTTGTGCTCCACATTTTGTCAAAGATTTAAGTAGTTTTGGTACTTACCTTACATGTTGACATATTTGTTGTTTTAAATTTCCACTGCTCAATGCATGTTCCTTACAAATGTGGCACCATTTAAAAGGGAAATTGACAGTACAAAATTTATTGCCAAGAAACATGGTTACAACAAGGAAACAATCTACCAAACACATATTTCCTTGTGCTAAGTTTATTTTGTTATAAACATATACTTATATTTGTTTTTAGTTTCTTCCATATCAATCAACTCTCTTTTTACAGTCATGTTTCTACTTCATATAAAACTGTTTTCACTTTGACTCAGTACTGCTTCTACTACCGCCTTCTCAAAAACAGTTGAATTGTAAACATTTTAAAAATGGGGGGGTTTAATTCCTGTTTTGTTTCCACAGTTTGACCCCCATACAGAGGTAAACAGGCTCAGTTCAAACTCACTCAGCTGCTCTGACATGTTAGCAGGCAGTGGTGTTTGTCCGTTAGTGTCGGGGTAATTATATTTATGATATGCATGCAAATATAATAAACATCAGAGGAAGCTGCAGGCTTTTCTTTAGGCGGGGAAAACGGGTCAGATCTCTGCATGAGAGAGTTTGGAGAGTGAGGCTTATGAAAGGTCGGCTCCACCTAGAGGGAGAAAACGAGTACAACTAAAACTGTGGCTTTATTCTGTTCCAGGTGTGTGTGTGTGTGTGTGTGTGTGTGTGTGTGTGTGTGTGTGTGTGTGAGTTTTGGGGATGTGCTTGTGTAGCTCCGAAGTTAATGTGATGCAAGTATATTAAAAATGTAAAAGACAGTGTGAAACGCACATTCACTGTGATGCAGACCAGTAGGCACAGTTGTGTTATTTTAGTATGTAAATGAAAGAGTTTTGTTTTAAGCTTCTTTTGTTTCCCTCTGTGACTTTGTGATCTCGATTTAAAAAAAAGTTCTTAAATTTGCCTTATTCCCCATTTTGTTTCTGGTTATACTTTTATAAAACCTCACAAATGTGCTGTATACTACCATCAGTAGCTCTGCTACATCTTTATTAGAAGGCAGATAAGAAGCAGTTGCTCAGTTTTTTGTATTAAAAAATAAAGGCAAGCGTGGATGGAAAACAAAAAAAAGAAGGTTGTGATCTTGTTTTCCCGTTTCGTGTTTCCTGGTATAACTGGAGCCAAGCAGAGCTGAACTTAATAAGCAGTGATAAAAGGGGTTTGGGGTTTTTAACTAAGTAATATACACATAAATCCTGTTTTTCCAATGAAAAATGTTAGAAATGATCAAGATTTGTTTAACAACATCTGGTTTGGGCGTAATTTTAATCAAGACATCTGCAGCTTGTTGATGCACGGATGCAGAATGGAGAGTCTTACCATGGCTAATACGTGTGTATGTGTGTGTGTGTGTGTGTGTGTGTGTGTGTGTGTGTGTGTGTGTGTGTGTGTGTGTGTGTGT